GTTTGTATCTGTGAGAGATAAAGATAGTGTACGGAAACACGGTGGCACCGGAGTTTACGTTTAAGATTAACAACAAAAAAAAAAAAAAAAGAAAAGAAAAAACACACATAAAATGCATTGAATCTTTCATCTCAACATTCCTGAAAAGTTTTTATTATTACTTGATAACAAACTTACTTTTATGATATAAATAGCAGAATTTTGAAATAATTATTGTATTAATTGAAACTAGGATCTAAAGGATAGGCATTCACCACGCAACAGAACATTAGACTTAGTACACATTATTTTACATTGTTTCTATCCTAAGAATGGGTCTGCGATATTTGACAAACATGTAAAATACATGTAATTGTATACTGATTGGGTCGGAGGGGGGGGGTGATAAATTCTAAAAAAGAGTGAACATCATAATCTATATTTGATTCTATTCCGAACGTGACCTGTAGACGAAAAAAGTGGTTGACTTCTAAATATGGCGATTGTCCTACAGGGGTGATTGGAGTCTGTGGGAGCCGTGTCTATCTTGGCGGCCATCAGGCCTGAACAGGACCCACCCATTATCAAAGTTGTAATCAAAGAGTTGTGGGAAACAACTAGGTGTCCGAAAAGTGTCACTGTTGTCAATGGACCAAGGGACGTAACTCTTACTCTGACATCATATTTATTCAATATTAGATTGATAATAAGTGATTTCAAGTCGTTGCATCGGATACACGTAGCCTTTATTTTCAAAAATCAACGATGAACAGCATACATATATATTTTGCATTGATATTGGCAAGTATATACGAGAATAAATTCAATTAACAAATTTTGAAACAATTTTAAATAATATCTCTAGACATAATAAAAAATAAGATTTGTAGGGGTTTTTTTTGTCCAGAAATTCTATATCAAGGAGTTATCCTAACATTTAGATGTATCGATTAAAAATATGAAACTTTCTCCTGTTCGTGATCAGAAATTGATAAAACACTTTAACAATTTAAAACACACAGAAATCAAGAAAGACATAATGAAAAATGAAGGAAAAAATTTAATTTAATTTCTGCTGAAAATCTTATAGTTAATGGTGTGTAAAGTTGAGATGTTACAATACTTACAGCTAGAATTCTGTATAACAATATCAATATGCTCAGTGTCTGGTTAAAACATATATATTTATAAAATGTTTAATGACAACAAAGTATGTAGAAAATTAAACAGAATTTAATACATATGTATCTTTTTCTTTTTGCAAAAGCTATTGCTTTGAAATAGCTAACACTTTTAAAAGCTAGTAACAGGATTAAGACCATAAAAATACATATAATTTTAACAATTCTAAAAGTCTTCAGATAAAGCTCTGTAAGATCATTAAGCTCATCAAACAATGATGTACACATATTTTTAATGTAGAAATCTAATCTTCAGTGGGTTCTCAACATATGAACACTTAAGTTATATTCAGAATAGAAGACAACTGCGATTAACAAGGGAAGACATTTCAAGCAAGGGATTCCGTATCGTTGTTTGAATATAGATTAACGATAAAATGGAGAAAGTTAAGAATTTTTGTGTCGGTATAGTGTCTTCAGTTTGGTCTCAATTAAGTATTAAGTCGATGTATGTGCGTTTCATTTTAAAAACGATAATTACAGAACATTGATACAAAATGTATAATCTAGAAATACAAAAAAATGAAACGCAGCGAAGTGTGCCGTATTTTATGTCGTGCTCATCGGAACACTTACCCGAAAGATTCTGTATCTTATATATCAAGTCCCTGCTCAATGGAACACATATCTAAATGATACTGTATCTTATATATAATTCCCTGCTCAATGGAACACATATCTAAATGACTGTATCTTATATATAATGTCCCTGCTCAATGGAACATGTATACAAATGATACTGTATCTTATATATAATGTCCCTGCTCAATGGAACACATATCTAAATGACTGTATCTTATATATAATGTCCCTGCTCAATGGAACACGTATCTAAATGATACTGTATCTTATATATAATGTCCCTGCTCAATGGAACACGTATCTAAATGATACTGTATCTTATATATAATGTCCCTGCTCAATGGAACACATATCTAAATGATACTGTATCTTATATATAATGTCCCTGCTCAATGGAACACATATCTAAATGACTGTATCTTATATATAATGTCCCTGCTCAATGGAACATGTATACAAATGATACTGTATCTTATATATAATGTCCCTGCTCAATGGAACACATATCTAAATGATACTGTATCTTATATATAATGTACCTGCTCAATGGAACATGTATACAAATGATACTGTATCTTATATATAATGTCCCTGCTCAATGGAACACGTATCTAAATGATACTGTATCTTATATATAATGTCCCTGCTCAATGGAACACGTATCTAAATGATACTGTATCTTATATATAATGTCCCTGCTCAATGGAACACATATCTAAATGATACTGTATCTTATATATAATGATACTGTATCTTATATATAATGTCCCTGCTCAATGGAACACATATCTAAATGATACTGTATCTTATATATAATGTCCCTGCTCAATGGAACACGTATCTAAATGATACTGTATCTTATATATAATTCCCTGCTCAATGGAACACATATCTAAATGACTGTATCTTATATATAATGTTCCTGCTCAATGGAACATATATACAAATGATACTGTATCTTATATATAATGTCCCTGCTCAATGGAACACATATCTAAATGATACTGTATCTTATATATAATGTCCCTGCTCAATGGAACATGTATACAAATGATACTGAATCTTATATATAATGTCCCTGCTCAATGGAACACATATCTATATGATACTGAATCTTATATATAATGTCCGTGCTCAATGGAACACGTATCTAAATGATACTGTATCTTATATATAATTCCCTGCTCAATGGAACATGTATACAAATGATACTGAATTTTATACATAAAGTCCCCGCTCAATGGAACACATATCTAAATGATACTGTATCTTATATATAATGTCCCTGCTCAAAGGAACACATATCTAAATGATACTGTATCTTATATATAATGTCCCTGCTCAATGGAACATGTATACAAATGATACTGAATCTTATATATAATGTCCCTGCTCAATGGAACACATATCTATATGATACTGAATCTTATATATAATGTCCCTGCTCAATGGAACACATATCTAAATGATACTGTATCTTATATATAATGTCCGTGCTCAATGGAACTTGTATACAAATGATACTGAATTTTATACATAAAGTCCCCGCTCAATGGAACACGTATCTAAATGATACTGTATCTTATATATAATTCCCTGCTCAATGGAACATGTATACAAATGATACTGAATTTTATACATAAAGTCCTCGCTCAATGGAACACATATCTAAATGATACTGTATCTTATATATCAAGTCCCTGCTCAATGGAACACATATCTTATATATAAATGATACTAAATGATATATCTTATATATAATTCCCTGCTCAATGGAACACATATCTAAATGACTGTATCTTTTATATAATGTCCCTGCTCAATGGAACTTGTATACAAATGATACTGTATCTTATATATAATGTCCCTGCTCAATGGAACACGTATCTAAATGATACTGTATCTTATATATCAAGTCCCTGCTCAATGGAACATGTATACAAATGATACTGTATACATATTATGTTCCTATAAAAAGGAACATATTTTGATTATTTCTGTTTCGTTGATCTTAGTATCTCGCATATCAAAGGGATATGAAAATTAATGTAATGTCTGTACACATTTGAACAAGTATCAAAATATTACATTTTTTAAACCAACCTCTGTGCAAATAGGAAAACAACATGTAAGAAATGAAGTTTCTCAGTTCTTATGTTTGTGCACATCGGATCAAGCAAGAAATCGATACATTGTCCTAATTCTATATTGATACTATTCTTTTTATTCTATTGGTCGTGCACATAAGTACACTTATACAGATGGCGCTGTTTCTTTATTTTAATGGCCGTGTATATAGGACTACAAACAAAATGGAACTGTTTCCGTTAATATCGAAATACGTATAAATACAATACTATCTGATGATGATAATGTCCGGGCGCATTGGAAAGCATATCAACATGTAGGGCTTGTTTTATGTTTTCTCTTTAGTGTAAAGTGTTTTAATGGAAGGAATATGAAATAGTAAATTATGTAGTGAATTATTTGTATATATCATAAAACAGTTCTACAAACAGACAGTTTCCGTAGCCATGACCTGTACTTGATAATTTTACTCGGAATTTCAGTCAACCTACCGAATTCTACATTTGTTTTCTTATTGAGTAAGAGTTATATATGTTTCATGTGCATCTTGTCTACGAGTTTTCCAGTTGTATAATCAAGTGAGAGTTACCTCCCTTGAATTGGTACACTGTATATGAACCAGTCGGGTAATGAATATTTATTGACGAGCCTATTAATTCCACTGTATCATCTTCATCAACAATTTTTTTTTTGAAATGATATGTCACTTTAGTTAATAAATTTGTTCATTATACTAATTTACCTTTGTATTTTTTTCTTTAAGTGTTATGACGTCGCCAAGAAAGATACAAATAATGGCGTCGCACAAAAACAACGTACTATTGTTTTACGCCAAGAACGATAAGCAGTGAATAGTTGGGGTTGCGCACCCCCGTTTCTGTATTTCAGCACTATATGTTATGTGTATTTCGATCTTCTTACTCGTTATTTATATATTCACAAAGTAGACCTTTTAACCTCTTTTACAAGTTCTAGACTGACCAAATAGTTGTACAATGCAATTTAACAAAAACATTTCTATAGAAAGATCTTATTTTTGTACATTTGAAAAAAAAAAAATAAATAAATACATTAATAAATAAATAAATAAATAAATAGATAGATAAAGCATCAATCAGTATTTTAAGTAAAGGGGCTGTCGGGAAACAGATTCACAAAAATATTGATAAACTAGAGAAGATGCCCAAGAAAATACAATAGAAACGTTACAATGACATTCGTATGAACAGTCGGTGAAACAGGTGCGCCATCATTTATTGCCTTGGAAGGTAATACTGTACGTTCTATATCCATATCACTCCCCCGATTTCTGATTATACGTTCTGTATTCCGATGAAACCCATCGTGAGCGTAGACACGATTCCTCGCAACGTTCAAAGCAGTGGTCATGACTTTCCAATCATTGCCAGATTTAGCATAACTTTTCGGATCATGTTTGGCTCTAGCCTTCATATTGCGATAAATCCCAGCATTAACACCACTTAACCAACTATTTTCAGCATTGACTGCGCCAGTGACGACCATTGAAGTTAGGCGTGTCACAAAACTGTATCTTAAGGAAAGAGTTAGTGCTTTTTGTTCGTATTTGTGTCTGTCTTCTCTACTTGATATCAAAGCAAGGTCTAAATATTCCTTTATTTTCTTATACGCCCAAAGCCTCTGTGCAAAATGCAGAGTTTCTCCTGTCTCGGGTTCGGCGGTAGAATGAAAAGTTACGTCTTTGTCGACACCAACAGCGATGATCGACGCCGTCAAAGGATTTGATGCGATATCCACTTCTGGTTGAAGGTATCCAGACACAACGATTTCAGATCCCTCGAAGAAATTAGGAAAGGATGTATCTGTGAGATCTTCCGTCACTACAAGGTCAGCAGGGTAGTGGAATTCGATATTCTTAAGTGTGACTGATTCTACACCTCTATAAAAATCATCAAGTTGCACACTTGCATCTTCATCTTCGTATATAACATAGGCTTTTCCTTGATTCTGAAGGGAAATTTGTCTCAGAAAATCGAATCTCACTGCATTTCCGAAACCGAGACAGAATATAGAGACTAAGCCATCACTATTAGTTCTTTGAACGTTGTCTAATATAAGGGTTTCGTTCGACTCACCTGCGTTTGGTAGGCCGTCCGTGAGAAACACAACCAGATTTCCTCTATTTCTAAAGGCATTGTTGATATCACGAACTCCCGATACCAATGCATAATTGATGTTGGTCCTCCCCATGGCTATCATGTCATCTACAAATGATATGGCAGAGTAAGTATTTGTAACGGTAGCTAACACTGGATCTGGTCTCCACCGGTGCACTCTAGTATTGAATAAAATTATGTTAAAAAAATCGCCAGTCCTAAGTCGTATCAATATCGAATGCATCGCCACCTTTACTTGTCTAATTTTGTTCCCTCTCATGGAAGCACTAACGTCTATGACAAATATAACTGTTTTGCTCATCTTTGATAAACCAGATGGTGAAAAAAAGTGGACAAACGCGCCATTGTTAACAAGGAGTGTTCCTCCATTGGTTTGTGGCGCCGTCAGAGTGTACTTTATTGTCAAGTCACCTTTCATTCCGGAGCCAAAGAAATCTAGCTGGTTCGCCAGCGATGGAGTGTACACAAGCTTCCTCTTTCTTTCGGACATGTGTACCAAAGTATTTTGAGAGGAGATCGAGTTTGTCAAAGAGACTTCAGAACCAGGAAGCGTGTACGAGAACTTGTCAATTCCCTGTGGTTCTTGAAGCGAGACAACGACTGTGAGATTTTCCACAATTTGGTTTGGTTCTATATGTATTTTTTGTGTGTATGTCCCCAAAACCTTTTTAATGAGCTCTTGATATGAGAGTTTAAAAATAGCGTCAGAATTTGCTGCCACATTCATGTACATTACGAAATTTTTCATAGCGCGTCCAGGTGGCGGAGCGACTTCTGATATCCGACCTGCAGTCTGTCCGTCCTGACGGGCAGCCTCGTAAGCAGCATCAGCTTCTATCTTCTCTTTCACGACACCATGAATAATTCGGCCATCATTTTCCATCGAGAAACTCGTTATAAATGCTTCTTTGGGAACCTGTATTGAAAACATTGCTGTTCTGCTTTCGTCTGCGTCGTTTTCAACTTGAACCGTGACGTACACATTGGCGAATCGAGAATATACACTCGATTCGGTTAAGAATGATGTTATGTAAGGGGATGACACTACATCATTAGCACCGCACGCGCGTATCAGTAATGACACGAATATACCAATGATATGAAGCATTTTATACCTACGTTCTGTCGGCACCTACCAGCAAAACCAGGAAGTCAACATATCATTACTGCGTCTGCATGTTGTAAAACACTCTGCTGATACTGATGTTAACGCATTCAAAATAAGTAATCAATACACGCCAAGAGGTACAAAGGGTGAAGGCAGCAGAAAACATAACATAGACGGGTACGTTTAAGACATTTATAAAAAGACATTTAATTGAATGTAGTAGATTTCAAATATAATTTTGAGTAGTATTTACTATAGATGAGTTTTGCCTTCTTTTTTTAAATTCCTAATATGTCTATGCAGAAATGGATGCATATACATGTGTTTGGATAAAATTCGAAAGAAAATGCCTTAACACAATTCCGGAATGTTTGTTTAGATGACTGGGTCAATAATTTTTTTCCGGCGGAAACACTCTGTTAAATCGTGGTCAAAGACATTTAAATGGTCAACAGTACTTCTAAATGTTGTGGATACACTCAGAGACAGGCAGTAATTCCACGATAATCACACAGTCAGGTGTCTGTGAAACAAGCATGTACTCACATATGCGTAACAGAAAAGCGTATCTGTGGAATAAGGATGGTTGTTCTAAATAAGGTGAAGGAACACGGAATGGAAACACGAAACTTAAAAAAGAATATTTATATCGATTCTTCTAATAATCAAAGACAGCACGAAATTCTGTTTCAGATATCAAATCTTGATTTTAATATTGTGGGAAATCTTATCACATACATTTTTTTGACGTCAAGGAATCTCTCTTGAGACTTGATTAATTGGTGAGTTTATCAAACCTTGTAATAAGGCCTTCACTTTTATACTTTAAGATATATTGATGATCTCTATGTCTTGTCCTTTGTGTTTCTTAGGAGGTAACTTCCCTAGAAATATGTTGACAGGTTTTAAAAATATTCTGTGGTTACTGGCACTCTAAGGGGTTACAATTGGTATAAGCAGTCATTAAAACCTTTGGCATAGACCATGAATATTTGTAGTTTTTCATATATGTAGTATCAATAGGATACTTAATACGAAAATTAGATATGTGTATATCAAATGCATAATAAATGTATATTTTAGTTACTATTATTTTCATTACAATCGTTTCAAAGTGAATAATGTTGCAATGATGATTCCCTGGATGTGTCTGTTGCAGAATGCTGTTACAATCATTGAAAGTAACTGTTTATAAATGATGTGGCCATAATGTTTGTTTTGCAGTAATCGTTTAAAGAGGTTTGGATGTGATCGTTCAAAAGATCATTCAATAAATTAAACATTGATGATGTTGTTATGGTGATCAATTTATTAATAATTCTGTATTGATAATGTTTTCATTTTGATCATTGAATGATTGTGTACAATTGTTGTCATGGCGATCATTTGACAATGATTGTGAATTGATACTGTTGTCATGGTGATCATATGTCAATGATTGAAAATTGGAAATGCTGTCTTGGTGATCATTTGTCAATGATTGTGAATTGATACTGTTGTCATGGTGATCATTTGTCAATGATTGTGAATTGATACTGTTGTCATGGCGATCATTTGTCAATGATTGTGAATTGATACTGTTGTCATGGCGATCATTTGTCAATGATTGTGAATTGATACTGTTGTCATGGTGATCATTTGTCAATGATTGTGAATTGATACTGTTGTCATGGTGATCATATGTCAATGATTGTGAATTGGAAATGCTGTCTTGGTGATCATTTGTCAATGATTGTGAATTGATACTGTTGTCATGGCGATCATTTGTCAATGATTGTGAAGTGATACTGTTGTCATGGTGATCATATGTCAATGATTGTGAATTGGAAATGCTGTCTTGGTGATCATTTGTCAATTGACACTATTGTACATTTTCATGCTTTTTTTGTTTTTTGTTTTGTTTTGTTTTTTTTGTTTTTTTTTTATTTTGTTATTTTCAAAACGTTAAAAAAGAAAAGAGAAAAGAAAAATCCGTTAACGATTTAATGGTAAAGATTTTAAACAGCACTGTATAAAAGAGTACATATCAGAAAGGCGTGCGTTGCAAGTACATAATTTGAACTGTCGATAATGGTAGCAATGGATTAAAATTCAGTGCAACATAGTTTCCACGTGCGAATTACTTCCAAAATTTGTGTACATGTAAATAGGTCACATGAGGTCATCCTCGGTGTACCCATTTTTGATAGCATCAACATTGCATAAAAACAAATAACTTTTTTTGCCACATTTAAGTCGAATCAGGCATTTATGCACCATACCTCGTTCAAAAAGCGGAGTAAACTGTAATAGTAATTACAGCATACACGTAATAATAGACATCGGGTATGACAGAATTACAGAATGTTTTTGAATATAAATATGACTATCTGTATTAGAGACATTATGACACATTAAATGTACATTGAAATAGGATATTACCATTAAAATAATAATTACAGAACACAAACAACAATAGACATACTTCGTATGTATTAGTATATTAAAATTGTCGAAAGTTATAATAATGTGTATGTTTATCTGTATTAACAGACATTGAAATAGGATGTTACCATTACAACAATATTATATTTTAAAAATACACAGTAGCAATTTTACACGTCAGTAGACAAACAAGTGAGATATAAGAGAAAACATATCTACATCCACATCTGGCAAAAATCATTACCTGATCATAATAAAAATAGCATTAGAATATACATACTACTTCCAAAATAATGTAAAATAAACCCTCGTTAAAACAACGTTTAATCAAAGAGAGCAAGAAACAAAAATGATACTCGTAAAAACATAGAAACTAATTTGATAATTTGGTTTGATAAGTTACTGTAATATATTAATTGTAAGATATATTCTTTAACACAGTGGACTTAGTATCAAGGTATAATTCTGCCTTTTTTTATATACTTTTTCCCTTTTATTGTTGGTCATATTTATTTCGAATATGGAGTTATGCGCCATACCACTTTTACAAAAGTGTAGTGAATTAGTTGCCAAGTAAATTCTTAGGAAAAGTAAAAGTTACTTTGTTTTATTTTAAAATAATCCAATATCCACAAATTTAAAATGATGAAATGACGCATTTAAATGCATTGTACTGTGCAGTTTTATTCATTACTCGGCATGTCTTGTTTTAGGTTCTCTATATGAAATGTAATCAAACATATCAGAATCAAGTAAAATGTAGGAATTTCCTAAGAAAGCTTTATCTCGAAGAGAATTGTCACGTGATAAAAACAGTTTTAAAATAGTTAGGATATGGCCACTGAGATAGAGAAAATCATACAATTTTACCTAAATTAAGTCCCCATGATATCGGAACTAAAAGTTTTGTAATATTGTCAATAATTTGAGTGTTAGTAAAATACGACATAAACATTAAGTATCACTGATAACTAGCGATTATATTTTTGATAAATTTTACGTCTGAACATATTTTTCGAAAATATCTAAAGACTTTGAATGAAAAGGTTGTACTATTTACAAAATTTTATGTAATAATACCCATCTTTATTTCCAAATGTTTTAAGGTAATATTAGAGATAAAAATCATCATGTGTATGCGCGCCTACAGGCCGCTAATCATAAATATAACATTGAAAAAATAACAATATCCTACTTCTAAGAAAAAAGAAAAAACTGAATACTTACTTCTTGTCTTAACTACATAAATAAAGTCTGCACTTGTTGTAGAGGTAGAGATGTCTTTAATAATGATTTTTTATTTCTAAAAATGTATATGTATATCAATCCTTTAAAACAGCACGCCGGTTACAAAAGTTGATAACCCAATGAGGTTTTGGGGGAAATGCCTACGCGTAACAAAATTCTTTACCTCATCAAATCATAATATAATAACACTTTCTAAATAAGAAATATATATATTGTACAAACCACTTCCGTTATGCAAAATGAACCTCTTCACCAAATTAAATTGAACAGAACAAGAAATAAAGGCAGAAATGAATCATCTCTATAATAAGATATGGAACAATATAAGAGGAATACTGTTTCGAAAATAAATTGGAAGATTACTTCTTTGAAATAATACAGGATAAAGATATAGCTCACACTATTTCTAATTATTCAAATCCCACTAGCACATGGAATACGATTTATAAACAAAGCCCAGAATAGGAATTCCTATTTTAGAAAGAAAGTTACAATATCTCATTACAAACAAATTTTAACTCGCTGCAAATTATAAAATTTAGCAAATATGAACGACACCAAACGGTCATATCAAAATGCTTGAAAAGAGTACAAGCAATGTTTATGCTTACATTTCTTCGTTCTGTAGACAGAGAATCTTATAAGGTGGTGTGGCGAACGAATTACAAATTAAACTAATCATGTCTTTTCAGTAAAATAAAAACTTATATTATTTCATTGTTATGCGTAAAACACATTCCAAACTAAATTTGTACTCTTTAACACATAAAACTTTCTACAAAATAGTGATAAAGATTGGCAAGACCTAAAGCTTAGCATTTATGTCTTCCTAAGATTCGTCAGTCCTGAAAAGTTCAGTAATGTTATAGAAGCCAAGTGATCAGTCTTGTGTGTTCATTTCGTTTTTCTTCGTATGGTTGCACATGTTACTAAATATATGAAACGCAAAAAGTTCTTCTGAAATATTTTCGTTTTATATATAAGTAAGTTAAAGAAACGTTCTTCATTCTATTTTTACTGATGGAAACATTGATGGGAATGATCAATATATTATGTTTGTTTTCCTAAAAGACATCCGTGCTTTCCATCGGATACTATCACCTAAGGAATGTCCGTAATACAATGAGTATTCTAGAATCTACAGGTTGAGCAGGCCAGTATTAACAACATTCTCTTGAAAATATCGCACAAAATGTAACAGAAACGGCACACATGACCAATATTGAAGCACATGAACCTTTGCATGTACTTTTTCTTTCCACTATGCATTTGCCTGCATTGCTGATGTCGTTTTCACTATACCCAGCGTTGATAATTTAGGTAAGGCGCGTCAAAAAGTGTATCTCAGAGCCAATGTTAGTGCTTTTCGTTCTTATCAATTTCTTTCCTCTCATTTGTCTTCAATGCACGATTGATTTTTGTATGCTCAGGACCTCTTTAGAAGTGTTGGGTTTCTCCTGTCTCGGGTTCGGCAGTAGAGATGAAGGTAAGGTCGTTGTCCACACCAACAGCAATGATCAATGCTTTCAATGGAGTGGATACGATGTCCGCTTCCTGTAGGTTTAGAGCTACAATCATTTCAGTTCCCCTTAAAAATTGGAGAATGTTGTTTCAGATCTTGTGTTGATACAGGTAATATTGAAATTCAATATCTTTGAGAACAGATTCAATTCCTCTGAAAATGTAATCAATTTATTCACTCGCATCTTCATTCTTGTATATAATATAAGCAGTTACATCATTCTGGAACGAGATTTGTTAGGAAGCTGAATTGAAAACATCGCTGTTCTGCTTTCGTCTGCGTCGTCTTCAATTTTGTTTTAAAGACTTCGAATGCATTTAAAGCATTGATGCTTAACTTCCGGGTGCTTTGTCAACCTCACTGGTGACGTTGACATTCGTGAATCGAGAATACATATTAAATTCAACCAGCATTGTTTGTATAGAAAGGGGTGTTATTTCATTGTTTACACCGCACGTGCATGTCAGTAATGACAAGGTTATGCAAATGAACAAAAGCGTTGCATACGTACCAGGAAGTTATCCACACATGCCAGAATGTTTATCGTCTGTATATGCATTTTTAATAATAATATACTAAATTTATATAGCGCCTTATCTAATTCGTTAGGATTACACTAAAGTGCTTTACATAAAATTAACATAAAAAATTAAGCATAAAAGTATATCATTCATTGTCCATCAATGTAAAATGTCCATCACAAAAAAACCCCTAAAACATTAAAACTATGCCATACACTGTCTATCAATAGAAATGGTATCACAGTTTAAAAGCTGTTTTAAAAAGGTGTGTTTTCAGTGCGGATTTAAAAGCAGACAGAAAATCTAAGTTCCTCATGGAAAAATTAAGATTATTCCACAATTGTGCTGCTGCTGTATCAAAGCAGCGGTGTCCATATGTGGCAGCCCTTGCTTTGAGGGAAATAAGCAATGCACCAGACTGCGACCTCAGTGTCCGAGTTGGTTTATAGGGACGTAAAAGTTCCTTGAGGTACTCTGGTGAGTTCCCATGGAGAGCCTTAAACACAGTCATGAGCAGCTTACACTGACAGCGGTATTCAAACGGAAGCCAATGTAACGACTCCAGCACAGGTGTTATATGGTCCCTTTTTTTAGTTCGTGTAATGAGTCGCGCCGCAGTATCTCTGGAAACGCTTAGCCAATGTACCTGGAATGTCATATAACAAAGCGTTCCCATAGTCCAGTCTGGATGTTACGAGTGAATGCACTAGAGTCTTAGAGGCATCAGTGGACAGAAATTGCCGAATACACCCGATATTCCTTATATGAAAGTGGCATGACTTTGGTACAGAAGTTACTTGTTTTTCCATAGTCAGAGAGCTATCCATGAAAACTCCAAGGTTCTTTACAAATGGGACAGTCCTGATAGAGTTGTTGCAAACTTGAACCTGGAATGCTGGAATGTTTTTCAATTTGTGTGTTGGAGTGAACACAATGACCTCCGTTTTGTCTTTATTCAGTTTTAAAATATTTGAAACTGTCCATGAACTAATGTCTGATAGACATGCTTCCATCCATGCAGATAGGTCAACCAAATTGTCAGTGGGTATTATAACCATATACAATTGGGTATCATCCGCATAGCAATGATAGGACAGGTTGTGACGGCGACAAATATCACCGATCGGTTTGGAGTAAAGACAGTACTTTCTTGGCCTAAGTACTGAACCTTGGGGTACACCAAAAGACAGTGTTCTATCCTTGGAATTAGTACTGCCTATAGCCACACTTTGCCTCCTGTCAGTTAAGTAAGACTGTATCCAGGAGAGTGCATCATTTGACACACCGTATGTATGTTCCAACCGCTTAAACTGTATACCGTGATCAATAACATCAAACGCGGAGGATAAGTCCAACAGTACAAGAACAGCTGAACAATTGCTGTCCAACGCATTTGCTATGTCATGGTGTACCCTCAAAAGAGCAGTCTCTGTTGAATGGAATGGACGGTAAGATGGTTTACATCAAGATGTGCTTCTAGACGCTTTGCCACTACCTTTTCCAGAATTTTAGACAGGAATGGCAGGCTTGATACCGGCCGGTAGATTTTCATCACCTCCTTGTCCAAACCAGGTTTTTTTAGCAATGGCTGAATGATGGCTGTTTTAAAACAAATCGGTACCTTTTGCTCAACCAGAGACTTGTTAATGATAGCAGAAATCAGTGGGAGCAGGTGTTTCACACACTGTTTCAAAAGGTATGTAGGAATAGGATCAAGTTCACAGGATTTGGAAGGCGCACTGATGATAATCTTGCGAAGTTCGTCAATAGATACCGGGTCAAACTTTGTCAAATGTTCACCTTGAAATTCACTGTCTGATGACATAGAAACAGTATTAACATCCACCGAAGCATTCATCAAAGCAAGTTCATTTCCTAATGTGACAATTTTGTTTAAAATTTAAATAAATGCATAGGTGAAATGCATGTAAGTAGTATTATTTCTATCCATGTAATTAATATAAAGCGTTTTATTAACATTCAATTGATTACTAATACTTTTATATGCTTCAGAAGTTGACATTACTTGTCAAGCGATAATTGGCATTGTCCAGTGTTTACCTAAATGCATGAATATGGAGAGGTAATGTTTTCTGAAATAATCATATGTAATCCAAATCGTAATTTCTGCTGATTTGTCTCTTTTCAACATTTTTTTTCCTGTAGTGACGTACACTTGTGTATTGATAATGTTGTCATGGCGATCGCTTTTCAGTAATTGTTTATTGATGATTTTTTGTTAGTGACGTTTTAGTAATGATTGATGACTTAATAAAAATAAGCTGATTTCCCCCTTTCAGTCCCGCCAAACAGGCTACTGAAGGGTTGGTAAAATACAATTTTGAGATTTAGTTTGCCCATGTTCGTTGAACATATCTTCAAACTTTCAATGCAAGAAAGAAGAGAAAAGAAAAAGTAAAGATTAAATAATGTTTAGAGTGTATAATATACTCCGATAACAATTGTTTCTCAAGATGCATGTACAGGTCTATCATGCTAATTCAAATTTTCATGAAATATAGATAATAATAACCATAGGCTCAATAATTTCCCGAATTACTCTGGAAATTACTCTCCACCAAAAATTATTTGACTTGATTTGCCACCTTCGGCACATTTTGGACATCGACATTACCTAAAGAACAAAGAAATTTTCATAAATGAAAAAGAAGACTAGTCTTTGCGATGAACCGAACTAATGAAATATCCAGTAAAAAACGAAATTAAAAAATTTGTCACGTTGAATTCCTATTAAATCATAATAGGCTTCAGAATGAATACATCATCATTATTATTTTTCCAAGAATTCTTACCTCTAAAATCATGAAATACCTTGGCATAATGACAAAAACGAGTGAATTGTACTTTTTTTTTTTTTCGTCATCGGCAAAGAAGATCAGTATATTTTACTCGATGTAAATAGGCTATTAAACATATAATGATTACATGAAATAAGATAAAGGGGTTTCTCAAAAAAGCTTTATCCCGAAAGGTATTTCACATGTGTGTGTGTGTGTGTGTGTGTGTGTGTGTGTGTGTGTGTGTGTGTGTGTGTGTGTGTGTGTGTGTGTGTGTGTGTGTGTGTGTGTGTGTGTGTGTGTGTGTGTGTGTGTGTGTGTGTGTGTGTGTGTGTGTGATAGAGAGAGAGAGAGAGGAGAGACAGAGAGAGATGGAGGGAGGTGGGGGTGAGAGAGAGGGTGTGTGTGTATGCGTAATTACATAATTATTCTTCGTATCATAAATTACTCGAAATACAAGACCAAAATGTGCTGAATTAGACCAATTTATAGTTCAACGGTCAGGTAACAGGTGGCTTATCATAAACAAAGCAGTAAAAAATGACATTAAACATTGATAGATACCAGTAGGTTATGTTACACAAAACATCTCAATATGGCACTTCTAATAAAATACAATTAAAATATATCATTGCATATATACAAACATTCCTGTATTTAAATAATATTATTATAAAATATCACAGGTACAGAACAACCAATAAGAAGTGAATCTTGATACTGGATTTCTTATGGAAACTACAGAAATAAAGTGTCTTTAATGTGATGGGAGATATTTGGTTGCCATCTCTGAAACAATATCTTTTATTTCTAAAAATAAGATACGATGAAAAAATGAAAATATTCCTTTACCACAATGAGGACACAGAGAGCTATATCGTATCGCATCCAACGAAAATATGTAATTCACCACGCCTATTAGTAACAACATTCTTTGTCCTATATCAGTAATGTTGAAAAGTATCATTTGACGTTTCATTAGCGGATCAAAATGAAATATTCGGAATAAGAAAAATTAAAAAAATAACCTGCATCTAATAAACCACGTACCTGATAAAACAATCAAGAAAATACCAACATGGCAACATAATCATACTTCAAACTCAAATTCTATAAAACAAGGACAAGATATTAACAAAAGAAAAAATTGCACGGAGTCTCCTGAAAAGTTATGATAACATATAACACAAAAAAATATACGTATCACTTCTAAATGTAAAATTAAGATACAATACAAATAAAATAATGACAACACCTCACGAACAATGAAATACCTGATATAAAAAAAAGTATCAAAAATGTAATAAAAATAAAATAATAATAACACTAACACTAAAATATACAAACTTAAACATTATCATACTGTAGACAAACAGAAAATTTCCCAAGAAAGTGAAATGATCTGTATGTTACGTTTCATAACATCGTCCTATTTTGATTGTGATCATAATCGTGTGAAAGTACACGAATACATACTATTTCACAGCCTTGCAGTAAGCACACATACAACTTCTTGTTAAAGTTTACCTATGTGCCCTTTGGGTTTATGATATGTTGAATTCTGGATAACTGGAAAGTAACAAACACCAGAAAATTATTCACCGCATCGCCATACGATGCACTCTCTAATTTCGCTTACAATATCTCACTGCAAATGAAACTTTGTACAAAATGAATGTATCGTGCAAATATAATACTGTCTTCTACGTTTGAGCTGATTCGCACAACTGAAGATTGAAAAGAAGTTTAAAATATGTGTTGTACAGTAAAACAAAACTTGCGTAATCCTATAACACAAGAGGTCCAGAGGCCTAAACGGTCACCTGAATTCCATTAGTGCTGTCGTAGTCCTTGTACAGATAAAACATCTGTCATAGACATCATCCTCTTAGTACTATCCCTTCTCCAGGTGGAAATGCGAGACCCTTGCAGAATTAAATTCACAATTTTGGTTAAGAACTTTAAGACCCTTCGTTCCATAAAGAGTATTTAAATCTGAATCTGGGTGTTGAAATGGCTTTTTAAAATTTGAATTTTTTTACTCCGTTCCTCAAACACCTTGGGGTGGGACCTCTCATTTTGATTCACCTTTGGCAATATATTGTTTCTGAATATGGTTCTGGTTATGGTTGAGAAGAACTCGTTAATTATTTATGGGCGGACCATGACAGACAAAACTGACTACAAAAGATGACATGAACTTTCGTCTCAAGTAACTTTAAACTGACGAAAGTGGCTGTCATGACGAAGTATCGAGGAATCCCAAAAAATAGTGTTTTGTCGCCTTCCTTTCCTCAACATCCCCTCCTATTTCAGCTCAGTGGCACTATTTAAACTTACGAAGTTTGAAATACATTTTCCAAGATATAAAGTCATATGGGACAGACCTGAACAATATCTACAATTGGATCATATCATCATGATTTGAATCAAGTTTGGGCCGAAACTCACTTATGTAACTTATCAAAGATGAATTTAAGAACTTTGGAAAAGTTACGCATGGCGAACGGCCTCCGACGACGGACGATATACCATGACTATAGGTCGCCCTGACCTTTCAGATCGGGTGACCTAGAAATGTACTAGAAATGTAATCACAACACAGGTGACCGAAATTAACGCTGACGCACGTGCGCGTAAGCCTTCGTTTGAAACCACGTTTGTTTGTATGCCTACCCCTGCTTTGAATAATGAACTTTCGTCGTTTTCACTAAACCCAGCGTTGACAGCCTCTGTGACGACCATTGACGTAAGGCGAGTCACAAAAGTGTATCTCAGAGCCAATTCTAGTGCTTTTTGTTCATATCTCTTTTTTTCGTCTCCACTTGTCTTCAATGCACGATCCAGATAATCCTTTGTTTTTTTGTACGCCCAGAGCCTATGTACGAAGTGTTGGGTTTCTCCTGTCTCAGGTTCGGCCGTAGATGTGAAGGTAACGTCGTTGTCCACACCAATAGCATTGATCGATGCTGTCAATGGAGTTGATACGATGTCCGCTTCCTGTTGGAGGTTCCCAGCTACAATAATTTCAGTCCCATTGAAAAAATTGGAGAATGTTGTTTCAGTTAGATCTTCTGTTACTACAAGATTAGCAGGGTACTGAAATTCGATATTTCTGAGAAGAACAGATTCTATTCCTCTGTAAAATTTATCAAGCTGTTCACTTGCATCATATACTTCGTCTTCGTATATAATATAAACATATCCGTTGTTGTCAAGTGAAATTCGTTCCAGAAATTCGATATTTACTGCTCGACCAAAACCGAGACAGAATATTGAAACTAAACCGTTATTGTTAGCTAGCTGAATGTTTTGGAGTATGATAGTTTCGTTTGTTTCACCAGCGGTTTGAACACCGTCCGTAAGGAACACGACCAAGTTCCCTTTATTTATCAATGCGTTATTTAGATCAAGAACGCCAGACAACAAGGCGTCATTGATGTTGGTACTGCCACCAGCTTCCAATCCATCGACGTATGACTTTGCAGAAGAAATGTGTTCATTGCTTGCTAACACTGGACTGGATTTCCATCGCTCCACATTACCACTAAATATGATGATATTAAAATAGTCACCATCTCTAAGTCGCATCAATATCAAATGCATTGCCTCCTTGACTTGTTCGAGTTTTCTTCCCCCCATCGAACCACTTACATCTAAGACAAATATAACCGATTTCCTCATCGCCGACAAACCAGATGGTGAAAAATAGTGAACAAATGAACCATCATTGACAATTAGTGTCCCTCCGTTGTTTTCCAGAGGCGTCAAGGTATACGTCAGTGCAATATTGCCTTTTAAACCAATACTTTCACCATCTCCGGAAACATCTTGCTGTGCCTCTACCGAAGGATTGTAAATAAGTTCCTGCTTTGTTTCGGACGCGTACACTAAAGTGTTTTTTGATGGGGTGGAACTTGAGAGAGATACTTCTGAGTCTGGGAGAGCATATGAAAACACGTCAATTCCCTGAGGCTCTTGAAACGAGGCAACGACTGTAAGATTTTCAACAATTTGGTTTGGTTCAATATGTATTTTTTGCGTATAGTTTCCCAAAACTTTTTCGATGAGCTCTTGGTATGAAAGTTTGAAAATGGCTTCGGAGTTTGCTGCTACGTTCATATGCACGACAAAAGTTTTCATGTCGCGACCCGGAGAAGGTGGAGCGGATTGTGTCACCTGTCCGGCAGTCTGCCCATCCTTACGTGCTGCCTCGTAGGCTTCTTCGGCTTCTTTCTTCTCTTTCACCACACCATGGAGAATTCGACCTTCATTTTCCATTGAGAAATCTGTTACAAAGGCTTCGGTTGGGACCTGGATTGAAAACATGGCTGCTCTACCTTCGTTTGCTTCGTTGACAACCTTACTTGTGACATGCACATCAGCGAATCTAGAATATACATTGGATTCAACCAGCAGTGTCTTTATAGAAGGTGGTGTAATTTCGTCGTTTGTACTGCACATGCATGTCAGTAACGACACGGTTATGGTAACGAATAGAAACATTGTATACGTACGTCAGACGAACCTGTATCCACTCGCACACCAGGAAGTATAAACAGGCTCTGCGCAATATATATCAAAGTTGTAAACTTTATACGCACAGAGTACTATGCTTATCGACTATATAGGTCTGATAAAGGAATGTTGACACTAGTAGAAATAAAAGTTTTTGTTACGTTTAGCTGACTAACATAGCTTATTACTTGTCAAACTTTTCTATGCGTATTTACTTCTCTTTACGTGATAAACAGTTTTACCTTTAATTTACCTGTTTGCTCTCTCTCTCTCTCTCTCTCTCTCTCTCTCTCTCTCTCTCTCTCTCTCTCAATTTTTTAGCTCACTGTTAATTATAGAAATAGCAAAACGAGATCGATACGTGCGGTTTTTTTCTCCGTGCAAATCTTTTTTTAAAATATGCCGCTTCCATTAAATTCACCAATGGCAAAGTTATTTAAAACCGAACTTAGACCAATAGATTTTCCACAAAGCAACAGCTTACATTCTGCGACTTAACATATAACATCAGTGGCGTAGCAAAACATTTTTAAGAGTGTATGCTTTCAAGAGAGGATCAAAGGGCGAAGCCCCGGTTAAGGGAGTCTAGGGGCGCAGTAAGGTTAAAAAAGTAGGGCAAATATATCTCAATGGAATTCGAGTGTATGTTTAAGCATACAAGCATACATTATTGCTACGCCTCTGAACATCAACACAATTTACATAGTAAGTATTATATCCAAAGCTATCTCCTGATTTAATGTGTTGGGTTTTTCGATTTGACATTTTGTTTAATTATCGGTGAAACCAGAGACATATATAACACACATATATATATGTGATACATGTATACGTCTCTGGTGAAACTTATCGTGCAGATTGCAATTATATCAGGCTGATGTAGTCGATAATAACTTGTCGGTGTTTGCTATACTATTAATCATAAATGAAAACATATATAAGAAATTCTACGAATTCTAAACAATCTATATGAAAGGAGTAGTACTAAATAACAACTCGTTTGCTTATTGGAACCAAATAGTTTAAAACACATATACAACATACTTTAAAGAAAAACTAACACAACCTTTATTTCCGGAAAGTATGTACCGACTATTTGTTTGACAACTGCCTCGTCTTATATTTATTGGCTGAAGTAAGAACAAATATGTCAGCGGCGAAGGCATCTCTGCCACTGTACATCGTGGATGCATTCACAGATACGCCTTTCCATGGCAATCCCGCAGCTATATGTCTATTGAAACAGGCAAGTACTGGTTCTAAATGAAGTAAATGACAGCATTAGCGTAACCCACTGGACCTCTATACGAACGTTATTTGTAATGTTCAAAATGCACAGTTTCGGAATTTCCTTTTAAGCATAAATCAATTAAATAAGCTACCATCCATTTTACTCTAACTTTTTAGCATAATGCTCCGGGAAATATGTGAGTGCACCGGCCCTACTTAATGCCGAAATTAAGAAAACTTATGATATTCAGCAAGTTAGTTTCGGACAGGTACGGTTAGATCTCTCAAACTGCACTTGCCAAATAATCCGCAGTCCAACCTCGGTCCTGATCTGTTCCTGGCGTTTTTCTTGCAGGCTCAACCGCAACTGCTTACACGAAAGCACCCTAAAGGTGCATAACACCGGCTTACAGATGACCAGTCTGGTGATACTAAATATGATGACGGAAATTAGAAAGGAAAAACGACATGAAAATATTTCCTATCATATATATCCAAAAGTAACATGCAACTGATTAAATATTATATAACACCAAAGTTATGTATGATTTTATTATTTCTCTTTCAACGAAAAATTGATATGTTCAATATTAATTTGTACACTGATTACTTATATCAAATTAATAAATTTCACCATTAGATAAGCAGGTTATGATCTCGTAACAGAGTTTGAACCCACAGACTAGGAAATTATCAAACGCAAGGAATATCATGATAAAAGTGTTTACCAAAACAGAAAAAAAAGTTGAAAAAAAAAAGAACAAGGAAAAATATTAGGATGTATTTTTATTCAAAAGAAGACATTTTTCTATCACTCTTAATAGTTCAAGATTGTTATGTATACCGAAACAGCCACTTTGTTGAGCTATAACACATAGACTTCCTGACAAAGCGTCCAGATAATTTTGGTTGTTGTAACATGTCACACTTCCAGAAAGAATAAAAGTATGTGATTTTAATCATTCACCATAAAATATGGGAAACACTGCATTGGCAAATTTGTATATTTTTTCTTAATTCACATTTTTACATGTCCAACATCCTCCAAGATATGATGAAATAACCTATCAATTCATCCTCGGATGCATGTATCATTGTCGTCTGCCATGTGGATGAAAGTTTATGAAGAATAATAGGCCACACCTTGTCGCGATTTTTTCGGCTAGGAATGTCCAAACTTGCACGTCTGATATTGAAAGAATGATGATTTATAAAGTATCACTTTTGACAACTCGGCTCCAATTTTATTGACAGATAAAAGTTCAACTTCATTTGAATAGTTTGTATTATAAGGAGAAAAAAAAAGAAGTTTACCACGAAATATGGCTCATTTGAGAAAAAAGGATCAAACAATAAAAAGTTAAATCTAACCCTTTATAAATGTACACACATAAGCACAGATGTCCACTTCTTTCTTTTGCACCATAAACGTATTTCAATTTTAATTTTTTTGAAATGTCATTCCTGTTGAAATGATAATTTTATGTAATACATGTGTGCTTTTGGGTCTCACTAAGCTAACTCTAGCATGTCTGTGATTTAGTGAGGTCATCAGAAACAGAAGTGCAGTCACATGTCTGATATCTTACAAAGTATGAACACATTTCAAATCATTTATGTATTTGTTTGGTGGCAGTTCATCAACACAGCATAGTTAGGGAAAAATTATTCTTAAGGGGTCCGAAACAAATGTGCCAAGGATTTGTATTTGATTTTTCTCCATCATTATTCATGGAATCATTCCTACCACATTTCAGCCCTCTTATCTCCTGTAACAGTCATACAGTAATAGAATTGAATTAAAGTTGTTATAAATAATTGATAATTGATGCCAAATTCTTGCATATCTGTGATATGCATGTTTAGTGGAAAACTATTAAATCCAACCTACTATGAAATTCAATAAAGTTCTCAAATTAAGCAGCATATTAGGGAAAGCAAGATGTTTTGTATAACATTCTCTTTGACCTGTAAATCAAATTAAATTAAGAAGTTCTTTAGCTCCCTAAACAATGAATTTAAAAGGTTTTAATTTTGGACAATGATAACTACATGTACTACTAAACACAGGATTGTCATTACCATGGTGATTTTATTGGTTTTACTTAATTTAATTTGCATTGTATTAAACTTGAACAGACATTGTCCGAGGACGATATGCAGAAGATAGCTGCAGAGATGAATCTATCAGAAACAGCTTACATACAAGGAATAAACAGTAACAACTGTGACTTTACAAAAGGTGAGATTAATGATTTACAATTCAATAATAATGTTAGGTACACCAGTTTTGTAAAGGACTGGCACAGGTTGCAAGACTTTGATCAATTTGAATCTTAGGATTAATGGATAGTTTCATCAATGGTGATTGCCACCTGAGTCAGAATAAACTCCATTTAACTCGTGTGTGTTTTTTTTTTTTTTTTTTTTCCCTATTTCGTGTTTACTTACCGGTATTGATGTAATTGTATATTTGTAATATCTTTCCCACCCACCCTCTCCCTCTCTGTCCCTCTCTTTTGCTCTCTTTCTCTCTCCATATATTCCATAATATATGTAACAGTCCATCATTTTGATGTACATTGTTAAATATTGGGTTATTGGAAAAGGGCTTATCATAATATAAACTTGATGACATTTGCACAATCCTATTGTATATATTTGATGCAAATTCAACATGTTTAAATAAAAAATGGCTTTCCTCAGGCCGGCGAGAAATCCATGGTTAATTCAGCTACTGTAAATGTCTTTTCTGTATGCTTTTTCTAAACTCTTTTTATATTATATTCTCAATGTTTATTAGATCTCATAGTTGTTATTTTTCTATTATAATGTTACTGCAAATCAATTCTAAAACTAAAAGACTTTTTCCATAACATTTTTTTCTAGATGACAGGTTTAACTTAAGATGGTTCACACCGACCAATGAGGTTCCTCTATGTGGTCATGCTACCATGGCATCTGCTGCTGTCATCTTTTTTGTCTGTGGTGAGTCTGATGATATCTTATTGCATCTAAGTCACTGCCATTCTGTGATGAATTTTCTGCTTTGATGTTATGATTTTGAAGGTAGGTAGGTAAACCTGAATATTGTTAAAATTTTTATTTTTTATCTTGCAAATGCCACAGCTGTTGTAGTAATACACATACCACACATATGTTTGCTTTATTCAGTGGTGATGGAAAACACCATGTGAATTCATATGAATGAAATAGTTGAAATAAGCAGTTTTGTTTATTTCTTTAAATAAGTTTATTTAGGAAACATTGAAAAGCCGTTGTTATAAACCATTACATTAAAATTTGGAACTATATTTCTGAACAGTACTATTTTTTTCAAGCATCATTTTGCCTAGATTAACTGCAAAGTCAGTGTGAGGTTAATACATTTTTCAAACTTTACTGTCAATAATTTGACTGTCTGAATTTTCATATATGGTAAGTTTCTCAAAATATATCTGCTTTTTGCCTTGAGACAGAAAGACAGAAATGGCTAGCCACTAGTAATTAAGGCACTGATTTTGATACACTGTACATCCTCTTAGTATGATCATTTTATATACCAAATTTCATTCTCCTAGTCCAAATGAAAGCTAAGTTCTGCTCCAGACACACAATTACTTGCTATGAAGGGGTTGTGATCATTGGTACACTGCACTTTGTCTTCCTATGATCAATGTGTACACCAAATTTGATTATCCTGCTTTAAATACACGCAATTTAAAGTTATGTCCTGGACATGAAATTTTATCAAAGGGCAATAACTCTGAAATTTAGGGGTTGCATGCCCTGAATTTGGTACATTTCACATCAATTTAATATGACCGATGTATACAAGTTTCATGATCCTTGCTTAATCTTGGGCACAGTTATGCTCCAGACACGAAAATTTTTATATACTCCTTGCAAAATTTTCAGGGAGCATGATAAAATGAATGAGGAGTATAATCAAGGAAACCCTAGATTGAGGAATAACTTTAATTTCAGAAAGTCAATCGATTGGTTTATTCCAATCAGATATTTCAGAAAAGCTGCAAAGTATAGAATGATGCTAGATGGGAAAGAAAAGTAATGAATTAACAGTAAAACACAGGTACACAGAACATCTTATTTTTTTTTATTTATGAATTTTTTTGGTAGACAACCCATCGCCATGTGTAACGTTCCAGACACTAAGTGGAGACTTGATAGTCCAGAGACAGGGACAGGGGATCACAATGAACTTCCCTCTCAACACTCCACAACCAGAGGTAAGTTATAAATAATCTGAAGACAAGGATGGGGATACCCATGAACTTCCCTCTCAACACTTCACAACCAGAGGTAAGTTATAAATAATCTGAAGACAAGGATGGGGATACCCATGAACTTCCCTCTCAGCACTCCACAACCGGAGGTAAGTTATAACTAATCTGAAGACAAGAATGGGGATACCCATGAACTTCCCTCTCAACACTTCACAACCGGAGGTAAGTTATAACTAATCTGAAGACAAGGATGGGGATACCCATGAACTTCCCTCTCAACACTCCACAACCGGAGGTAAGTTATAACTAATCTGAAGACAAGGATGGGGATACCCATGAACTTCCCTCTCAACACTCCACAACCGGAGGTAAGTTATAACTAATCTGAAGACAAGGATGGGGATACCCATGAACTTCCCTCTCAACACACCACAACCAGAGGTAAGTTATAACTAATCTGAAGACAAGGATGGGGATACCCATGAACTTCCCTCTCAACACTCCACAACCGGAGGTAAGTTATAACTAATCTGAAGACAAGGATGGGGATACCCATGAACTTCCCTCTCAACACACCACAACCAGAGGTAAGTTATAACTAATCTGAAGACAAGGATGGGGATACCCATAACCTTCCCTTTCAACACACCTCAACTGGAGGTAGGTATGAGGTAGTCCAGAGACAGGAACGAGGAACATCATGAAATTCTCTCACAATACACTATAACCAGAGGTAGATAATATATCGCCGTGAACTTCTCTCTCAATACACAATAATAATGAATAGTCCAGAGACAGGGATTGGGGATTACTATGAACTTCCCTCTCGACACACCACAACCAGATGAAGTTCTAAATAGTCCAAGGATAATGACAGAGATTACCATTTACTGCCCTATCTACACACCACAACCAGATGAAGTTCTAAATAGTCCAAGGATAATGACAGAGATTACCATTTACTGCCCTATCTACACACCACAACCAGATGAAGTTCTAAATAGTCCAAGGATAATGACAGAGATTACCATTTACTGCCCTATCTACACACCACAACCAGATGAAGTTATAAATAGTCCAATGATAATGACAGAGATCACCATTTACTGCCCTATCTACACACTGCAACCAGATGAAGTAATAAGTTGTCCAAAGATAGGAACCCTCTCAATACTCCCTAGCTGGAGCTAGGTCATGAAAAATCCAGAGCTAGGGATTGGGGATTGCCATGAACTTCCTTCTCAACACACAATAACTAGAATAAGGTAATAAATAGTTCAGAGACAGGAGATCAGCACAAAATTCCCTCTAAACTGAAGGGAGATAAAGAAAATTTCAGACAGGGATGAGAAATCACCATGAACTTCCCTCTCTATACTCCACAACCAGAGATAGGTAAGAAATAACCTAGAGACAGAGATGTTGGATCACCAAAAACTTTCCTTTAAACTTTTATTAATTGTAGGTAAGTAATACATAATTCAGGGACAGAGGCCACCATGATCTTCTTTAACAACACACTTAATCTGGAGGCAGGTTATGAAAAGTCCAGAGATGGGGATCACTTTGAACACCCCTCTCAACACACAACTAGAGGTACGGTAATGAATAAGTTCAGAGATGGAGATCACTTTGAACACCCCTCTCAACACACAACTAGAGGTACAGTAATAAATAAGTTCAGAGATGGAGATGGTTAGTTGTTTCTGGTCAGATTTTGTTCAAATCATTTCAGCAGAATGATTCGTAAAGGATTACTCAGTTTATACATTCATCATTATATTGAAATTTACAAAATTTACATCGAAATTTTAAAAAGTACATAATGTTTATTGTGTTTAAGTCTGTTTATCATTTTATTTGAAATGTACATCTGTCAATATCTTTATTCTGTACAGTCACATTAAAAAAAAAAGAATAAACAAACAAAATATAACAATAATGGGTGCAAGGATGGCACAGGAGATACTTGCTTATATTTCACTGAAGCGTTCAGGGTTCAATTCTCGGAACATACATGCAAAGGTATTGGGTCACCTGCTCTGCTCAACCACGTGGGTTTTCCCTGGTACTCCAGTTTCCTCCCACATTAAAGTTTGGTTTAAATCTAATTTGATGATTTTAAATGGAATCGAAAAGGAAAGACATTTCACTGCGGTTAAGTTATATTGGACAACTTCATCAATAACCCATTGGAGTAGCCTTGTGGATCAATTGTTCCATTACACCCAAAATCTTGTTCAATATACCTTTTGTTTAAACTAGAGAAATGCTATTGAGGTGCAAATTTTTCTGTTGTCAGACTTTACATAATCTGATAGCATATAAGTTTTTAAATCATGTTGATCAAGTATCCAATTTAATTCATTTTTGGTACAAAATTATCTAAGTACTTTTCATAGTTATTTTGACTGCATAAAAGGAATCTCTGTGCTGCTGCATAACATATATCACAGAACGTAAACATCTTCAACAGTCATTTCAGAGTAATTGTAGCATAACATCCCCTTTTCCTGATGTGTGTTCACTACATGAGGTGTTGTGATGAGGTTAACACATCCACACTGCAATTCTGTTTCCCTTTTCACAAATTGTTTTTATACATTTGTGTGTAATTATTATTAGCTATGAGATCATCTTACATCTGAAACATGTGTTTATGTTGATATGTTGAAAACCTGCTTTAAATAAATCTGTGTTAATTCTTGACATTTATAATAACTGATTAGTTTGTTTTTTTCTATTCCAGAATTTCGAAAATGTTGAAAATCTATTAAATGTGAGTATTACTCAGTGTATTATTTTATAGAAAAAATAAGGAGGTCAGGCTGTACCTACACTTCTATCATATCATGATGTAATGGCAGATATACAGAGCACATGTTTTTCCAATTCATAAGTATTTCTACCCTAATTGCATGTGGAAAGTATTTAAATTGTTTCATAAGAAAAAAGGGGAAAAAAATCAAGCAAATAACAACTTTTCTTCAAACTCAAAATATAGACAAATGACAAATGTACATACGTAATAAGATGCCTTTATGACCCTGCTTCACTGATGACGCCCACCATTTAAAGCCATGCCAAATAATGTATTTCTTAAATAACGAGGTTTATTGAAAAACCAACAATCAGACATACTGTCGAGTATTAACATCACACAAGGAAATGGAATATTTCCCAATGAAATCAGAATGGAGATTGTTAGTAAAGGCAGGTGGTTTCCAAACTATTAGCTTTAGATTCCTGAAAGAACTTCGATTAAACGCATTAATGGTAGATATATTAGATGTATTATTCATTCAAGTTACAATGTTTTAGACTCTGATTTAACAAGTAAAAGATGATTTAAAGACATATCTATCAACATGTTGTGGCGTCTTTTCATGAAAAATAAAACCATTTCACAAGTACAAATAAACGCAGGAGACACTCCAGCACACTTCTTTTCTCACTATAGTTAGTTACCAAGAAGGAAATGATTGACAGCATTCATTATTCCAGCAACACAAAGAAGCTGTTAGTAAGACTTACAGACACCTGTTCAAGGTAAGTATGTATATCATTATTAAATCAGGGTCATTATATGAATTAGGGAGTGGTCCTTAGTGTATAGCTGAGGGTGATTTTAATAATACACAGTCTTATTTATGTAAACCAGTATCCCTTTCCACCATCAATGGATCCATCATAGAAAAATTTCAGATGATAAACATCCGATCACAATCTATATAATCTCAAAATTGTAACAGTATAAAAAACCATCTAAGAATAATGATCTTATATGAAATAAGAGGTGTTGGTCAATTGTTGATATTGGTATTTTCTTCACTCCTGTACTATTTTCTCTTATTCCAGTTGCCAGACTTGGTCATTCCTTATGGCACTTGCTTGTGAATTCTAATTTCTCTGCTTTTGTTAAAGAGAATACTTTCACATTTGTGGTCTGTTGCTCTAAACATTTCATTGTTTACGCTTGCAATAAGGGCTGACTTGGAGAACCTTCAACCTGAAATTACAAACTTCCAAAAGGTGGAGTCTTCTGGACGAATCATGGGTGTGATAGTGACGGTAAGAGGAGAGAAGGGGGATGGAAAACAGAAGACATATGATTTTCTGTCCAGATACTTTGCTCCATGGAACGGCATACCGGAAGATCCTGTCACAGGTAGGAACTTCTGTATAGATAATCGAATGACTTAATTAGGTGAACCTGCAGTGTTGGTCATCAATGCTATTGATATCTCAATTGATTTCATGATTTACAGTTTATGGTTGACTGCTATTTTCATGTTTAGTTTCTTGTCAGTTTTGTGTTTTGTCTTTCTGTAGAAAATATCTGTGGGCATTGTATTAAAAAATACGTATAATTTTTCCATGATAATCACAATTTTAATTTATTTCAATGATTGGTATTGCATATTACTTACATCAAAATGAATAACCGACCACCTGACTTTATTCATTAGAACACCAAAGTAACGCTACCCGGATTTGACATCACCAGTCCTGTTTTGTAACACTAGTCCAGTTCGGTGTCACTAACCCAGTTAAATAAACCTATTTCAGGATCAGCTCACACAGTGCTTGCCGGCTATTGGTCGCAGGTTCTAGAGAAGACCACAATGCAAGGTAAGAAAAACTTTTTTTATTCTGGAAAATCTATGTTTTAAAACAATTCAGTAAATTGATTAATGAAATCTGATAAACCTTCAGGGGCCTATTCTGTCTCCTACAGCTCGGCAGTGTTCTGCACGAGGTGGTGACGTCACTGTGCATATCCGGGACGATGGGAGGGTCGACCTTACAGGAGAGGCGACGGTTGTTCTCAGAGGGTCTCTGACGATCTAAGGAAGGTTCCCTGGGGTCAATAATGAAAGTAGGCATGCTTCAGCAGCCCCTGGGCATCACTAGTGATCTTACTAACGTCCTTAGGGTATAACTAGAGATATATTGAAGTATGTCAGACTTGACATGCTTCAGTGCACAGAGGCTGCTTGATATCCGAGATTATCAACTGGTTATTGACAATGCTAAGAAGAAAACCATGAATCTCAGGCTCTGGTGTAAACAACAATCTTAGCTAAGAATTTTGTGCCTTTTGCTGTTGGTAGAGTTATGTCCCTTATATGCTGATTCAACATCACATCTCTTAGGAATCTCAGCATCAGGTAATGACAGTTACTGTACTTGTGAAGCGTGCATGTATAATGTGTACAATAACATATAGTATGAAAAAATAATCATAGTAATAAACGGAGTAAGAATTTATCATGCAGATATTTATTTTTCATAATATTGACATTCCACATCAAACATTTTGAAGGATTTGGCCATTAAATTAATATTTAATGGTGTCATTGTACAGGTTACGGTTAAATTTTCATTGTACTGGTTACTTGAATTGTGTCATTGTACAGGTTACCCTTAAACTGTGTCATTGTACACTGTGTCATTGTACAGGTTACCCTTAAACTGTGTCATTGTACAGGTTACCCTTAAACTGTGTCATTGTACAGGTTACCCTTAAACTGTGTCATTGTACAGGTTAACCTTAAATTGTGTCATTGTATAGGTTGAAAATGAATTCGTTTTGTTTTACTTTTACCAATCAATCTGAATTTACTCTGTGGTTTTTATAACAAAAATTTATTTCATTTACTCAGGTCATACTTTGAAAGTAATTAATAAAAGATATATTTTACATATTTTACTTGAGTTATCGTTCTTGGAGTGCCATGAAATTCACAATTATTTTTGCCCAGGATTGTAGTTCATATCAACAGATGTATTTTCAATCATGATTAATGTTCTTATGACACCACTGTCAATACAAGGTTCATTTTATTATTATGGAACAGTAAAGATGAGCAATACAAAGAAGACCATGCCATATTGCACTGATATATTCCAACAACAATATAAAACTTCTGTTTTGTTTTTCACCTTCACTAGGCAGGGAATTCTTTTGTTTTAAATTCACCCCAACCTTTATAACACGCCACAAGTTTTTTTTTTTTTTTTCAACTTTAACATTTGAAGTTTCATATTTTGGAAAATGTCTTTTGGCACTATTCTGTGCTACTTTGGTCTACTTTCATTCTCTTTCTTTTATTCCACTTTTCATGAAGTGGCAAATGACTTATTTCACTGAAACCCCTGGGACCTATTTGAAAACCCAATTAAAATTGTTGCAAGCTCGTTAGTAAATAATCCTGAGCCATATCTTTAAACCCCCAGAAAAACTTAGAATAAGTGGGCTTATTCCAATGCCCAGTTAATTGCTGCTCAAACTGATTGCTAATTAAAGAGAAAGCAAGATGAAACCATACATTCTCCTGAATGTGGCTGAGAATAAAATGGAAATGTTTTTCGTTTTATTAAAAAAATTATTTTGGGCACAGGTTGAATTTCATTGATAATCGTTAAACAAGTTGCAGTCATTTTAGGCTTTTGTGGCCTTGTTTTACTATTGTCCTTGACACCTAGTTTGTCCAAGTCAAAACAAGGTGACTTGATTGATTGTCATTTCTATGTTGTAACATATAATAATGATAAAATGTTAAATGAAAATTAATTTTGGACAACATTGTCATATGACCTCAATTGTCAAACAATAACAAACATGATGATGTCATGATTTACGATAAGGCATTTATCCACTTGTCCTTTCTCTTCATCAATCCTGCCTTAATACACAATACAATCTGATAAAAAATGTGGATCCTAGTTCTTACAGAAAGGTTGAAATGATATTATCAAATCATGAAAAATTGTCTTGTCTTCTGTGTTTAAAATGTACTGGTGATAATGATTATATACTAAGGTTTAACAGTGTTGGAAAGAGAGACTTTTAATATTAGACAGTACTATTAACTTTTTTCACTCAAATTTCTTTGCAAATATTAATTAATCATTAATAGATGTCAGTATGGAACCAATATGCTTTCGCGAATGGAATATGTTAAGAAATAGTATAGCTTCAACTACATTGTACACAATAGAAAATAAACAAATAATGTTCAAAAATGTGATTTCTCTGTATAAAGTATAGTACACTTTACTCTTTCCCTAAGTTTAAACTATTTCCAATAGAAAATAAACAAATAATGGGGGAAACACTTTACTCTTTCCCCGGGGGGAAACATGAGACCCTGGGGTCATAAAATTTACAATTTTGGTAAAGTATCTGAAGGCTTTTCCATTTAGGAATGTAACTTGATCTACCATACCTAGGATTTGAGAAGATTAAAGTTTCAGTCAATTTGACCCAATTTTGGCCCAGCTCAACAGCCCCTGGGGGTCAGCGAAGGTCAATATGTGCATCTCATTAAACTGTCATCTTAAACTAATAATTCTATCCAGGTTTGAATTTTTTGTAATATGATTTTTCTATATAAACAATAGTAAGCTTTACCCTTACCCTAGGGGGAAATGTGAGACCATGGGGTCTTGAAATTTCCAAATTTGGTAAAGCATCTGAAGGTCTATCCATCTATGAAGATTAAATGATTCTACCATATCTGAGATTTGAGAAGAATTTCGAAAGTTCAGTCATTTTGACCCATTTTTGGCCCCACCCAAAAGCCCTAGGAGTCAGCAGATGTCAATATGTGCATCTCATTAAACTGTCATCTTAAACTAATAATTCTATACAGGTTTAATCTATTGTCAATTGAAAATAAATAATGTTCAAAAATGTGATTTTACTCTATAACTTCTAATTATATGGAGTATAATTTATACTTTTGGTGTGCCTTTAGCCTTGGAAAGTTTTTGCACAATTTCACTGTAAGCGGTTCAGGCGTTTTCCAGAAGTTAAAAATGCTTTAGGTAACCTAAAAACCAATGATTTACAGACAGTAAATATATAGATTACTTGGGTCCCGCTGTCTTTGTAGCTAAGGTAATTTTATGGTTGTTTCGTTATTCAATAAGATCAGTTGCTAATTAATCCCTAGAGAAGATTTTCATTAAGTTGCAATATCCTCAAAGCAATAGAGACGACAAAGGAAACATTCTACTGTACCAATGCTTACACGTAAGCAGCATATATGCTGTCGTAATTAGAAAGTTACATATTTAATTTGTCTCGTTGAAGTTTGTGACAAGAGATCCTGTTTGTGTTATCCCCAAGGCTGTCGGCCCAGTAGGGTGGGCGGGAATGATGTTCTGTACTATACGCCACGTTAACTTTACGTTGTCTAGTATAGTCGGAAACACAGGCTGCAGGGTTTCTCTTTGATCCTCGCGCAAGCAAAGGGCAGCGTGTACTTAATAGGAAGGTTGGAGAGTACCGTACCTTTGTTTTGTTCATGGCCAACAGTTGTTTACACGCCAGATTTTTCATGAGGAATGGTAATTAAAATTACCGTCTGAAAAAAACACCCCAATATATGCAAGTTATACATCAAGCGTGCCAAAAACATCTTTGCCTTATCTTAGAGGTCAACAAGGACGCCGTAACCTAATTTAGAACACTGGTACAATTTACTGCATTCGGAACATAGACATTGCTTACAGGTAAACAAAGAGAAAAGTACCGAGGAGTACCGGGTCACTTTTAACATTAAAACGTCAATGTGTGAAATATGATCAAATCAATTACCGAACAGAATAGATGTAGTGTGAAGAGTGTTACCTCGCTGAGTACATGTTACACCAAATATTTAGCACCAATGTCTGTTCTCGTGATTGTATTTCATACCTACAACGCACGAGCGTTTGATTGCACCGACTGCACGATGTATATTGCGATGATCTATTGCCATTTTTACGCTCATTAAGACAGCTTTTTATATACAAATCAAACAATACTTACACGATGTACTTGTCTGTTTCTTTTTTTTATTTATTCAACGTTAAGCAAATATTGTCTAATTGGAATCGGAATGTGGGATTCCGTGCAATTGACATGTTATGATCGAGCTGTGGTCCGGTTGTTTTTGAGTGCATATGCTATACTTAAGGGGAAAACAATTAAACCGCTGACTGTGCTCGCTTAACGTTTAAAAAGATATTCGAAAACGAGCGGTGTGCGAAAAATGAAGAAAATGAAATATGGTGTAGTTTAAAGAATAAATGCAACGAGGTGTACCGTTTCGCTCTAAATATCAATGATTTATTACATAGAAACATTGTTTGTACACAAATATAATTCAATAATGTATTTTGGTGAGAAATATCTATGAGAATGGTGACAACATCAATGGAATAAAAAAGTAACTTTGCGTGATCGAATCGTTATGAAAATTGAAATATCTCGGGATTTTTTTTAATTTGTGCGTTATCGATTAAAACCGCCTAACGCCTTCGTCTCGTGCTGTTTATCTGATCTGATCGAGGGAGGACGATTATTGTGTGACCTTGATTTCCCTCGGTGAATGCTACCCTCATTTATAGGTCGCAGTCACTTAAAAAATTGATCCCGATGTATTGAATCGATCCGGTAACAGATTGGTATCATATATTTAGTTATGTGTTTTTAGGTCACCTTAGACAAAGTCACTGTGATCTATTGCGATCCCATTGTGTCCGGCGTCGTAAACTTTAAACATTTTTGACTTCTTTTGGAAAATCCTGAACCGATTTCAATGAAATTTTTCAAAAACCTTCCATGGCTTAAGACGCAT